TCCCACCAACAGTGTTGGAGGGTTCCCCTTTCTCTGCATCCTCACCAACATCTGTCGTTTCCTGACTTGTTATTTTTAGTCATTCTAACTGGTGTGAGGTGGTGTCTCACTGTGGGTTTGATTTGTATTTCCCTGATGCCGAGTGATGTGGAGCATTTTTTCATGTGTCTGTTGGCCAAAAATACAGTTTTTACAGTATCTCTCACCTTCTTTCGTACAGAGTAAAGGGAGAAATGTCCCTCTGATTCTTCATGTATTTGTAGTATAATGAGAAACAGAAACTATAATGACAAAGTAATGTTGTAAGGACAGCATCAAGGCAATCTAGCGCATGTTCTAGACTCATAAAGGAAAACTTCACCAAGTTTGTAGCAGGTCATGGATTAGGGAAAGCATTCTAGAAAAAAATGATGTCCTTGATGAGTCTTAAATGAGTAAAGTAAGTTGCAGGTGAGTGAGTGAGGGAGCATTTCAGGAAAAGGGAGTAACGTGAATCTTTATAAAGTCATATCAAGGAAAACATCTGTTACTCTGTTTGAAGTACAATATGGAAGTTAAGGCACAGAGAAAAGACATGTATTGAAAAATATTACTGAGCATAGTTTCCTAGGAGTTTTAAGGCACTATAGAAATTTGCAGCTAAGGAATGTCATATTGGGAGAATAGATTTGAGGAAAATAATACCTGAGAGCAAGGACTTCAGAATCAAGATGATAAACCCTAAATAGAGCTCTAGTGATTCTGTTTAATTTAGGTTCAATATTGGGGCAGGAGAGGGGGGAATCGGTGTAGAGAAATATGTAGGAAGTGAAATCCATAGGACTTGGTGATTGACTCTGTGTGGGTGGGAGAAAGCAGTTAAAAGTAAGTGACAATTCCCAGGGTTGTAACTTAGGTGACTGAGTTGATGGAGGTAGGAGGAAATGTACAGAAGGCTGATCAGGGAGGAGGAACAGAAGTTTAGTGTGATTGACTTTGACATACTCAGAGGAAACTGAGGTGAGAACTCAGTGAAGAAGTCTATGCTGGAGATGTACTTTTTTACACTCATAACCGTATTAGCAATAGTAAAAGTCATAAAAATGCTAAGTTTACCTTGGGAGGAAAAAAAAAGAATTTTAAAAGAGAAGGATCAAGGGTGAAACTCTAGAGGATATTAGAGTTTAGTAGATAAGAGCACAAAAGGAAATGCAGAAATGATGAAAACATACCACTTTGGAAGAGAATAAATGGCAGGATATTTACATAGGGGAAATTAAATGGACATCATGAAAACTAAAAACTTTTTGCTGCAAACGACACCATCAAGAAAATGAAAACATAACCCATGGATTGGGATAAAACATTTGTAAATCAGATATCTAATAAACGAATTGTATCCAGAATGTATAAAGAACACTTACAAATTCAGAAATCACAAATAACTCAATTAAAATAGGCAAAGAGTTTGAATAAACCTATCTCTTGAAATTGTACATAAATGGCCAATAGGCACATGAAAATGTGCTCGATATGATTACTCATCAGATAAATAGAAATACAGTCCACAATGAGATACCTCTTTACATTCCCAACAAAAGCTGTAATAATAAACTGAAAACACCAAGTATTGGCAAGGCTATACAGAAATTAACATATTCATGTATTGCTGGTAGGAGTGAACAATAGTGTAGCTATTTTGGGAAAGTTTGGTGGTTTCTCAAAAAAATTAAATGGTGTTACCATATAATCCAGCAATCCCTCTTTTCAGTATATACCCAAGGGAATTGGAAACAGATGTTCACATGGGAACTTTCATGTGAATGTTCATAGCAGCATTATGTAAATAGCCAAAACATGGAAGCAGTTCTAATAATGAATGGATAGACACAATAGTGGCACATTCCTACAATGGAACATTATTCAGCAATTACAAGGAATGAAGTACTGATACATGCTACAACATGAGTAAACCTTGAAACAGGAAAGAAACCAGTCACATATACTAGGATTCAATTTATATGAAATGCCAAGAATTAGGCATCTCTGTAGAGACCATAATTAGATGGTCAGGGTTTGGGAGAAGAAGAAAAAGCAGGGGAATAGTGAGTGACTAGTGGGTATAGAGTTTCTTTTGGAGAGAGGAAAATGTTCTGGAGTTAGATAATGGTGATTCCATAACCTTGTTAAGTATATTTTAAAAATACTGAGTTACACACTTTAAAATAGTGATGTTTTTGGTAACTCAGTGCTCTTTAAAAAATAGCTTCTATATCTCCCAGTCCCAGCATTTTAATGGAGACTAGCCTCTCGCTGTAACTGCACTGACTTTCGTGATGTCCTTTATCCAGACTTGGGTATAGTTATTGAAAACAACTTTTGCTGAGCTGTGTTGGGATTCAGCATAGGACAAGTGGTTTCAGCTAAGTGAAACATTGTCTGCACTGCTGCATCTTTAAAATTCATACACCAATTCTCTGAAGCCATAAAATCAATTTTGGATTTGAGTTTTCCTGTGACAGTGTGGACAGAGTGTCATGGGTGATGGAGACTTACAGTCTTGTAATTCCCCAAGAAGAAAAGACTTCTGCTGAGCAACAGATCTATACTTGAATTCAGAATATAATACCTCAATCCTCTAAATCTGCAGGAGTTTCCAAAATCTCACTTAAGCTCACCTTCCAAATGTGTTTCCCCGATGCTTGCCTGCCCTTCTAAGTTCGATGTCTTTTTTCCTGCTTGCAGAAAATACAGAAGCCAATAGGCCTTGTGGTTCTTTTTTGGTATCCAATACAGGGGCACAACTTAACCATGAGACACAGTCTAAACAAAGTTCCAAAGTTCATTCTGATACTCTCCTTTCTTGGTTGACAATCTATAGTTGTCTATTTTATGTTGTACGGCTAATAAAAGGTAATACAGTTTAGGTTGGAGAATGCCTCTTCTTACAAAGATGTGTTAAAAATTTTTCCCTCAAAAGAAATACTATGAAATGATACATTCTGAATTTGAATGTTATCCACTCTATAAGTAACGAAGTGACCTTGGGCAAGTTACTTAACCCCTCTGAACTGCAACAGAGGAGGATAATAGAAATCACTACTATATTTGATTCCTATAATTAAGACCACAAGATAATGAACACAAACTTGTTATGTAAACAAATAGGTGTTCTAAAAGTATGAGTGTTATTTCCTAGTATATGTATTTTTTTTTTATTACCAAGTAGTCATATGTTTTTGTTGAGTATGGAACTCAAATGATCACCTTCCCAACTGAGCAGGAAATCTATTGTTAAATAATTTTGACAGGAGCAAACTGAAATACATATTTCCTTTGGAGTCAGAGTTCTGTTTTAACAGAGTGTAGTGCAATTTTTCTTTGTAAATGACATGCAATTCACATGTGAGTTCATCTTTATATATGCCTAGTTCTATCTATTGTGGATCCTGTTGTCCAAGGGGCTGGTATCCAGTTTGCGAAAAGTCATTACTCCTCTGTTTTAGTGGTCTGGGGTTTTAAAGCAATATCTCTTCTGTATAAATGTCTTAAACTTCAATCCCATTAAAAGCAAAACCCAAAATCAGTACATTAGACAGTTAATTCTTTAAACTTGTATCCTTTTTAAAATAAAGCTTTTTAAAAAATATTTTTTTTCTACAAATCATGTTTCAAAAATTAGATGAAAGGGACTGTTTCATCTAAATTTTACTGTAAGTGTCTTACCTAGAAAAAAAAATGGAATGTGAGCTGAACCCTCTGGATAGGAATTCCTGTTACCACCTGAAATTTGCCCCCCTGCCAGGGTCTTTGGGTACACATCAGCTTTTATTGAATATCAGCTTTGTGTTAGTTATTGGACTTACTTGTACTTGGTGTAATGTTCCAGGCAGCAGTAGGGTTTGCTTAAGATTTAAAAGAATCCAGTTCTTTGTTAAAAAAAAAAAAAAAAACCCACCCAAATTTTCATTGTATTCTGTTACTTCATTTCTGAAATAGGCACAATATTAATTTATATCTCTCCAGGATGGCTCTGGTAAGGATCAGTATAATAGTGTATGAAGAAGTACCTTATAAACATTTAACCAAGAAATACTGCTGGAAGATCAAAAGTAAACCATGTTGTAAGGACCCTAGAACTGAACATCTCAGTAAGCGAAGTTGGCTGTTTTCCAGACTTGCTTTTACAAAAATAATACTTTGTATTAGAGTTTCTATTTTGCTCATTTTTCAAAATAAAGCTTAATATCAGATGTTTATTATAGAAAATTTGAAAAATATAGACAAAATGACAGTCTTCTGTCCCCTGATACCACCACTCTGAGTTAATTACTGTTAGCATTTTGATGAATACCTCAGTTGATGTTTCCTCATCTGAAGGAAAGGACCCCTTCAGGGGAGTGAAGTTGGGGCACCAGCTCCAACCCCACTGCCAGCCGCTGGTACTAGGGGACAGATTGAAATTTAAGGAAGATCAGAAATCTTCCAAACCCAGCAGCAGCAGACGTCTTCACTTATGCCCGGAAACCTCTTTATATCCCACGTTTACGGACTAAGAAGCTTGCCGTGTAGAATTATGGGTTCAGGGTCCGCTTTTGGACACTGCTCACTCCTGCTTTTCTTCCGTCTGCATCAGGCTAATCATGATGCATTTCTAATTAGAATATTCTAAACACTCTCTAGAGCGACATTTTTTTTCTAAACACGGTGTAATCAGGTGAGGGACACCTGCCTGCGACTCGGAGCGTCTGATAAGTCTTTGCAAGTGAATTCTGTCTCACATCCTGCGGTGTACTCGGGTTCAATTACTGGAAGATTAGATTTCTCTCTTCGCCCCCCACCCCCGCCCCGCCCTTCCCCGCCCTTCCCTCCCTTCCCGAGCTTCGGGAGGGGGAGAATAAATGATCAATCCCAGGAGGGGGTGCAGCCCCGTGAGCGCAGCCCGGAGACCCCAGCGCAGCGCCGTCGCCGGGCCCCCCTCCCTCTCCCCGCGCCGCCTCCAGCGCGAGTGACAACGCGCCCTCCGGGCTCGGGAGCAGCAGCGTGCCGAACAATCCCGGGCAGGGCTCGCCTCGCTGGTGACATCACTGCCGAAGATACTCCCCGCTCTCAGTGCCTGCCTTCGCGAGGCCGCCGTCCGTTTGTCCGTTTCCTTCCGTCCGCTGCTGGAGAGGGCTCCTCGCCGGCCGGGGACAGAGCCGGGCACCGAGGAGCGACAGGACCCGGAGGAGGAGGGAGAGCAAAGGCAGCGAGGGAAGGAGGACCCCGGCAGGCGACAGCATGAAATTCAGCCCAGCGCACTACTTGCTGCCTCTCCTGCCGGCGCTGGTCCTCAGCACCAGGTGAGTCCGGGAGCGTGAGTGACCCGAGCCCAGAGGCGCTGCCGGTGGGTTGGTCCTACTGCAGGTCACCTGTCAGGGCCAAGGACAGACACTTCAGCTGTTTGCATCTCCCGCCTAAGTTAAAGGGTGCTCTGTGTTTCGGGCTCTGAAGTCCTTCCTGGAGAGTAGAGCCCTTTTCTAGTTATCCTAGCCCTTAGAGAAAGTCTCAGTGCTCCTAACCAGTGAGGGGACTATGCGCTTTTCCTTTCAAAGAAAACATGTTTTCCTGCAGCCCTAGTAGGAGCACAGATAACAGGCAGTGACAGACCAAAGTAAAGGAAATGGAGACACAAGGGGGGAATTGTTACTAGGCAGTGTGTTTTCATTAGAGCTGACTTAATAGCCACAAAGCTTGCTTCCTCCAAGTGTGTCTGATTTTAAGGTATGGAAACCAGAGAAAAATGATTAATCCTGGAAGATGGTAAGCCTTGCACAAAAGTTCCCGGACTTGTAAAATGACCTGTTTTAAGGTCTTGAGCAGGCTTAGTGGTAGGCATTTTCATTTGGCTGTCTTGTGAACAGGTCTAATTAAAGAATGCACAAGGCGATTAAAAGTTGGAAGACACTCTCAGAGTGCTGATGCAGAGACCCTAGTCAGAAACAATTAAGTACTGTACTCCATCACTGGCCACAGATGGGACTTTAAACCCAAGCACAGAGAAGCTATTTTTAGTGGAGGTTTAAAATGCAGTGGTTGAAAAGAGTTTTGTGACTCCCCACTGTTGATCAAGTCCCAAAGTTGGTGATGGGTTTGTATTCTTCTTCCTCAAAAGGAGCACAAAGGTGGTCTGTTTCATTGCCCGGGAATGAGCCTTTATTCTGTATGCCCTTAACATCATATTGGCAGCAACCTCTTTCTCTTGGCTACTATAAAATAAAATAACCCTCACAGCATGAGGATCGTTTCAAATCTCTGTGAATGGAAACATTATCTGATTGTGCATCTGATGGAAAATGAAGAGGGGAGACAGGGTTATATCAAATTCTGAAATTAAGAATGAAGAAAAGTCAATGTCTATAAGAATGAGGCACTAAAATCCTTTATTCCATTCCTAATCTATCTATCTATCTATCTATCTATCTATATATATATATATATATCCCCTTTCAGACTCTTCTAACCAGACTTTCCTTTTAGAGTGAGGACTGTTTGATTTAGCCCTAATTATTCATAAACTTAGCCTTTCCTTACAGACAAAGCACAGGTGACTTTCCCAGACTAAAATGGAATATGAGTTACATATTATTTTTATTTTTTCTAAGGGTTGCTTGTCATTTCAGTTCACAAAGTACAGATGGTTTTAAAAATCGCTTTGCTTCCCTGTATTACAGTAACTTGCACCAATTACAGAACTCATTTTAACCTCTAAATGTGTTAACTCTAAATGACTTAATCCAAACTGTGCATCAGTCTTCTTTTTAAAGTGTCTTGTCACATACTCTGAACTCTTGTGTTATAGTTTAATAACTGTCATTTCTAGAAAAAGGAAATTCTCAAAGTTTGGACACTGAAGTAGGTGCCTGTCACCATATGCACAAAATAATACATATTTAAACAATAGAAACCCAGCCCACAATGATTTTTAAAGACAGTGAAATTCTCTAGTGTTCCAAAAGTACATTTACTTTTTAAGGATGCTATAATTTAAGTGACTCAGGAAGCTGAAGTCTCTAGCTTCTAAAGTTTTAGTGTTGGTTACATAATACAAAGAGCCATCATCTTTCCTTTGATGGAAGTGTTAATTTTTATTAGGATAACATTTTTAAATAGCCAACACATTCATTACAACAAAAATTAGAGTTAGTCATTCCTAGTTTACTTTAGATATGAAATCTGCAGTGTCATTTGTATGTAAAAACTTATGTCAGGTCTTTAAATTTTCCTTCTTGCAACTCAACAGAAAGAGCATGCCGGGCTTAAAAACCTGAAACTTTTCATAATCAGTGCCCTGTCTTGTGATTACTCTGTAGTGATTTATTTTACTGGATATCCAGATTACCTTGTGACAGCAGATTTGACAATGCATATGGTGCTATCAAATACATCATTTTGCAAGAAGAGATTATATTTTAGTGGTTTCTAACAGAAGACCATTCTCTTGTGATAATTAAGATTTCTTACAGGCATATGGTTCATGCGCAGGCTAGAACCTCAACTAAACAGGTTTGTAAGAACAGTTGCATTAGTAGAGGTGAGTTTATTGTCCTGCTGAGAAAAAAACTGTAGCTCAGCCATGAGCACCTGTGACAGTGGGTTTTCTTGCCAAAGACTTTTCGTTGCTTTCTAAGTTAGTGGTCTTGTGTGTGAAGCAAGTGGCATTTCACATGTTTATATCATGTTGAAAGCATTAGAAAAGGGTGACAGTTACTAGATATTCCTATAGCCTTTGGAGGGTATCACTTTTATGGCCAAGTTCTTTTCAAAGTGGTGTGGATGTGAATCTGAAGCACTTAAGGCTCGAAAAAAAAAAAAAAGTAAAAAAAAAAAAATTTGTTTCAGTATCCCTTTCTCTGGGCATAGCTCTTTAATACCATACTATTACCTTTCCAAGAGGCCTAAAGTTTATTTTTGTTTTATACTAAAGGAATGTGTTCACTAAAACATACGCAATTAGGGAAAGATTATTACTATGTAATAGTTTTCTATCCACAGGGATAAAAACCCTAAAAGAGTTTTGCCTTTTAAATATGAATTTTTTGGATAGCTTTCTGTTTTTGTTTGCTCTCTATCTTCATATTTGGTAATGACTTTAAATGCTAAAGCCCCCAAATTCCATAATTTTCACCATAGTGAACAACACCGATGCCCCTCAATCAGAGTTACTTTGTCTTAAAAAAGAACAAGTTAAATATTCACCATTAGCAGTAACCAAGAAGTGTTTTACTTGTAAACCCTACAGGGTTAAAAAGAGCTGTTTAATTTTCTGTATATTGCCCCCCTCCCCAATTTAGAAAGCATATACAAATTCAAAACATCAAGTTAATGATATGAATTATAAAGCTAATGCAGAAACCCATTTAACCTGTGCACAAATAAATGTGGTCAAAGAAAGCAAACATATGTTGGTTTAAGAGCTTTAGAGAAGAATGACTCTACTTTTTAAAGATCTTCCTTCTGTAGAAGTATTAAATTGCAATTCCAAGACAGCCAGCTATTCACTTCAGAAAGAAGTAGTATAGGCATTGAAAGGAATAGTGGGGTGAAAAAATCTTTAGAAGTTCTTGGTGAAAAGGGACCCATGGAGTGCTGGAGAAGGCTTGTGCTTTAGTCTGCTGAACCTCTGTTCCTCTATGCTGTGATTCTGCTCTTGATGCCTTTGGTTTATTGAGTTTTAAATGACTTAATGGGGAGAGAAACATGGCAGGGGAGGAGTGAAGGTCTACTGACTTCTGGTGGTTTTGCATCAAGCAGGAGCTTTAAGCAGATGGTAGGCTTATAGTCCTCCCCATAGGAGTCACCTTAGAGGTCTCTCCTGGTCCCTCTGATCAGCAGTCATACCATGTGTTTACTTTGGAATCTATTTTTAGATGATACTGTATATTGAAGATGCTCTAGGCTCCTATTTGCTCTGTGTCTTGATCTAACTTCAGAATTAAATTAATTTATGGGATAAAATGAAGACTAGAGTCACGATAAAAACACAATAAACACCTTTTTTAAAAAATTAAGCAAATAAATTTGAGGTAGTAAGTGGTCTTCCTTAACCCCGCCCCCAAGTTGATATGATGTAATTGTGGGTTTGTTTTCCCAAGCCCTACACAGAGTGAGTCTTGCCACACACACCTTTATATGGCCCTATGTACATTGCTTTGTGATAAGAATCCCACTCTTCTGTGTAATCAAGTTAGTGACAGATCTTTTCTTGGATCAGAGGATATTAACGAGCGAATTTTTGACTTTTCAAATTTCTGTTCTGGACCTTAGTTGATTATTTCCTATAACAATTTTTTAAAATGACTTATTTGGGGCGTATCTTTGGGGATTAAATTCCCCTCATGACTAATAAGAGGCCCCTCAAACAACTATGATTTGATCACAGTTGTCCCAGTCCAAACTCCTTGTAATTGGAAAGAGGAATTTGACTTAGCCACCAGGAAGCAAAAATTACTGAAACCACTGAGGGGTATGTGATTGTAATGATACAGTGTTCTCTCAAGAGTGTCATGAGAGCACTTGTGTGAGGTACATGTGCTTGAGAACTGGTTTTTGACTGACTTCTAAAGGAAATCCCCTTAATAAGTAGGGCTAAATCATTTAACCTGATTAAGCAGACAATTAATATTAGATTATCATCTCCAGAAGAGAAAAAAAAATTCATTCAAACTTCATAACCTTTAGATATTGTCTAAGATGTTTTCATTATCACACATTGGAAGTGTCAGGCACCAAGACAAGAAGATACTAGTTACAGATGCATGTCCTCATAATCTAGTCATGTACAGAAAGAGTATTAAGGCAAAGTTGGGTAAATAGCACCAAACATTTTAAAATTCTAGATACGGATAGAGAAAACAGTGAATAATGCCATTGAGGAAGTCTCCAGGAGTAACCTCCACTTTCAAGGACAGTGAGAGAAGTAATATTTTGTAATAAACTTTAACATCCTGCAGCACTTGCTAACCATGTGATGTTAAGTAAATTGCTTATCCTATCTAAATTTCTCATGTAGAAAATAGGACTATTTGTAGAAACTACCTGAGAGGTGAATGAATTTATTTAGGGAAGGAGTTTGCATATTTCTTGGGACATAGTGATCAGCCAGGGGTTAGCCTGTACGGTTGTTTTGATTATGTTCACACAGTGTTTGTATCTGCAATTGATCAGGACATAGCAAAATAAATGAAAAATTGGATGCAAGTCAGTCGAATGACAGAAAATTAACAGGAATTACAGTCCTCATCCAAAAGAGAAAATATTGGCAAAGAAGAGAGGAAGTAATAGAAGTAATGAGGGTTACCTT